CTCGACGATCGACAGGAAGACCTTGCTAGCGAGCATCCTGCGTCCGAGCAGCGCGCCAATGAACTTGACGTTGCCAAGCTTGCGGTTCTTGTACTTGAACTCCGCGATCACCCGATCCTCCTCGGTCATCTTGTCAAGGTCTTTCGGCGGTTGTTTGTTCCGTTCGAACACGTTCTGGCACTCGGTCAACAGGAGCTTCTTAAAACTGAAGGCGTCGTCAGCTATCGGGTTGTTGGTGAAGTGGTCGTGCAGCAGAACGCAGAGATCCGTGTACATATTGATGAAGGGATGCTGTGTGATGGCCTTCTCGAACACTTCGGTGATGAGGAGCTCCACGTGGGTGGAGGTCTTCATCGGGACCTCGAGGATCTGCTGGGACAGCGTGTCGTACTTCTCCAGCGTCAGCTTGTTGAGGATCGACTTCAGCTGGCGCACCACCGCCGCGTCAGGGTCGTCCTCGCCCCCGGCACCCGCACGGCGGGCACGCATGCGGGCGGCGAACGAGTTCGGGTTGACCTCGAGCTTCGCCGCCGGCTGTGGCGGCTCCTCCCGAATCCGCTCCTCGTCGCGGTCCCGCCGGCGGAAGTCTGCTCTGTCCTCGCACGAGGAGGAGGACGGAGGAGGAGGACAGAACAGAATGGAGCATCGCAATGGAGCTCTAGTTAAGAGGACATAGAGGCAACGACGAGCTCTGCGCGCTTCGTGTGCAGCCTGCCCTCGCTCGCAACACGGGTGGCCTGTCGGAGAAGGGACGAGAAGGTGGGGCAATCACCCCCACGCCGCCTCGGCTGCTCCTGGATCTCAAGGACACGAGACGCCCCTGGTGCGGCGAGGGGGCATCTGTCCGGCCACCACTGGTCGACCTGGACGCTGAGAGCTTGAGCGTTGGAGCCCTTGAGGAGAGGACGGACCCAGACATGCGACGGCCTGATTTTTTCAGGACGGCGTCCCCGCAAGTCCCGACCCTTTCCCCGGGACCGGTTTTTCGTCCTGAGTCGTTTTTTGACGGTCCCGAGGCCTGGCGAGGACCTCTAGAGGGCGAAAATATCCAAAAACCGCCCGTCCTGATTTTTTTACGACGCCATCATGTCTGGGGACAGCTCGGTGTCCTTGTCCTTGCTGTCCAGCTCGCGAGAGGACTGCGGCCTCCTGCTGCCGAACATCTTGCGGTCCACGGGCGCCGAGTCCATGTCGTTCGTGGTCCTCGGGGCAGCCGAGCTCGGCCAAACCAGGGAGGAGGAGAGACAAAACGAGGAGGGGGCACGGGCGGCTCCGCAGCCCGCTCCCCCCTCCTCGGGGCACGGCCGCGCAGCGGCGAGCCCTCGAAAGCGAGGTGGGCGATCCGGGGCGCCTGCGAGCTAAAACAAGGCTAGGATCGGGACAAATCGCTCCAGAGCCTTCCGGAGCGCTCTCAGAGCGTTCCGGAACGCTCTGGAGCGGCCGCGGCGCCCAATACATCCTCCAAACCCGCCGATTCTCAGAGATTTCGAGTTATCCCGATCCGATTTTGTCCCGATCCTCGCGTCGTTTTACGAGCCTCCGTGGAGAGGGGAACGATTTGACACCCACCCCTTCCCGCATCGGCCGCCGTGCCACCTGGAGAGGAGGCCCCGCGCCGCCCCAGGCCCGCGCAAGAGGGCCCAGGACGACTCCAGGACGACTCCGAGACGGCACAGGACCGGCCCGAGGCGGGTCCCGAGGCGCCCGCAAGACTGCCTCAGAACCCTCAGACGACAGCACGACCCTCCGAGATGGTCAGGAAAAACCCAGCAGGCCCCCGAGGGCCAGATAAGCAGCTGAGGCGTCGCCCAGGAGGGCTCGGGAAGCCAGCAAAAAGCAGTGCCACATGCCATGGCCCTCCAGACACCCGTTAACACCAACTGGCGGTGGGAAGCGGGATGTCGCATGATACGGCCGTACGTGATGTGGGGAAGAGTAGTTCAGAGAAGAAAGAACGGCTTAAACGTAAACTTCTTGGATGTCTTGGATGTCTTGGATGTCTTGGATCGGCGCTGGAGCCCCTTCCCGGCGTGCGGAGCGCGCCAGGGGAAGCGCCGAAGGCATGACGACTTGCCCCCCCATCTCCCCCCGAAGATATTATTTGGGCTTCGCGGCGAGGGACTTCGGGGTATCCTCTGGCCTTCTTGATAGTACATGTGTAAACATACATATGTATATATATATACATTATATATACATATCACAATCAGGGAACCCAACTCAAGTCCCATCGGTAAAACGTGGTATTGGGCCACGTCCCCCCCCCAAACCCCACATCCCAGCAGGTCCCGACACAAGTTGTTTTCAAGTCTTGGAACATACGCACTTCAAGTCGCAGGGTTCAAGAAAACGTTGTGCTCACATCATGGATAGGAACCCAACGCCTTGCAATGTCGAGGCCAGGCTGTCTTGTTGTCGGCTCGCCCTGAGCTAGGTGGTGACATCCGAAACCTACCCCCACCGACCATCGGTTCTCCTGAATCGATAGGAGGCGGGGGTAGGGTTCGGATTGCGCCACGTGTTCGGCACATTCCGAACCCTACCCCCGCCGCTCCTCGTTGGCTGCATCGTTGATCGGCGATGGTAGGGTGGACAAGGGCGAATCAGTACAAAATCGGTCCCCAAGCCCCTTCACAAGGGCTCCCAACTTCGCGTTTCGCGCTGCGTGAAGCGCGAAGTGCGAATAACTTCGCGCTCTCGCGCCGCCTCCCACAGGAGAAGAAGAGGATGAGGAGGAATCGGAGCCGAACCGCGAAGCGCGAAGCGCGAAGAACTTCGCGCCCTCGAGGGGCGCCCTGTACAAGGACAAGCCCGACTTAAGGCAAGGGCGAATCAGTACAAAATCGGTCCCCAAGCCCCTTCAGGGGTCCACCTGGTGCAGTTTGTCTCACCCTGGACCCGTTTTCTCGACGGCCTCAGGGCCCGGAAGCGACCCCCCCGAGGCCGAGCATGGCCAATTACTCGGCGAGGGCAGGGTTCGGTTCGGACTTCGCCGTCGACGCAACGCCCTGCCGACGCCCGAAATGGGTACGGAAAGAATGGGTACAATGCCCAACAACAAATGTTGTCCCAAACCGACAGCGGCCGCTGTTGGGCAGGCGGCCTTCTGTCTCGAATGGACACAGGCCGCGGCGGCGTGGACAGCGAGTCCTGTTCAGAATGAACAGGAACCGCTGTTGGGCACTGTACCCGTTCTTTCCGTACCCATGTCGGTCGTCCCGAGTGTCGAGGCCAGGGCGTCTCGGTGCCGGCTCGCCCCGACCGCCGCGGCCCCGACTTCCACCCGAAAAGAGGTGGGCGGCGCCCCCCCACCCCCTCCCCCTCCCCTCCCCCTGAACCAGCCTCACAGTCCCAGCTCAGAGGACTTGGTACCCCTTGCAAGTTACCTGTTTCCAAGGCTCGTCGGGAATATCTTGACCGAATTCGGCGTGACGAGTTTCCTAAGTGCAAGTAATCTGAGCCTCGAGCAATGGCTTGAGTGGTGGATCGTCATTTTTCGCTACGCGAAGGCTGTAATTCCTGCAATTCCCCTGAGGCTGGCAAGCCAAAAGGCGACGATAATCTTGGGGAGGCCCTCTCGGACGCGGAGGGGCGAAGATCGGCATCGAGGTGAGGCGATCCCAGATCACTGGGGATAGGGATACATGTTCCAGGCTGGCAGCACCCCGCTGCTCATCAGGAGGAGGAGGATCAGGAGGAGGATTGGGAGTAGGAGAAGAACGCTGCAATCCTGGGGTTCAAGTTGGCGCAACGTCAAAAAGGAGGAGGAGGAGGAGGAGGAAGAGGAGGAGGAGGAGGATGGATGAGTGGTACCAGTCGCGATGCGAATCGAGACGACGAACTACGGACACTTGCGACCGAGTTCCTCTCCATTGCTCAGAGCCTTCGAGCAACGATCGGAGTGGATCGGGCTGAACACTCGCCTCGATTCACATTCGTAGCCCTGATGCATTCCCGACCGAGGCTCTTGGTCATATCGCCACTATCGGAACAAAAAACAAAGTTTCAAAAGCAGCCAGTGACCCACAGTCAACGCGCCTAGTAAGGACGCGCGCGTTCATCTAGGGTGCCCTTGCGTCTTTGCCTCTGCGGCCCGTCCTTTGCCGTCTTCACTGGTCGCCCGCAGCCCAAAAAATAACCGACTTCGGCCTCCAAGGGTCTTGCGTCCTCACAACCCATATGTAATACACGCTTCGACTGCAATGGAGAGTGAGAGAGAGAGAGAGACCCAGACCCCCGACGTCGATTTGTTGTTCGCAACGTCGACCCCCAGAAGTCTCGACCCCTTTCCTGGGACCGGCTTTTCATCCTGAGTCGTTTCGTTGACGGTCCCGAGGCCCGGGAAGGGCACCCAGAGGCCGAAAATAGCGACAAAAACTTCCCGCCGCATGTTTTTCACAACGCGAGGGGTTCTGGAGAGAGAGGGAGAGAGATAGAGTAAGAGAGAGAGAGAGATAGAGTGAGAGAGAGAGAGAGAGAAACCAACAAACAAATATTGAGATAGAAAGAGAGAGAGAGAACAAAAAAAAAAAAAACACCAAGAAAAGAAAGAGTTGACGAGTTGAGGGGAGGGAGAGGGGCGGAGAACTTCGCTTCCGGGAGCGGCGGCCGCCCCGGGAAACAACCTCCTCCTCCTCCTCCTCCTCCTCCTCCTCCTCCTCCTCCTCCTCCTCCTCCTCCTCCTCCCCTCCTCCTCTCCTCCTCCTCCTCCTCCTCTCCTCCTCCTCCTCCCTCCTCCTCTCCTCCTCCTCCTCCTCCTTCCTCTCTCCTCCTCCTCCTCCTCCGCCTTCCTCCTCCTCCTCCTCCTCCTCCTCCTCCTCCTCTCCTCCCTCCTACCTCTTCCTCCTCCTCCTCCTCCTCCTCCCCTCCTCCTCCTCCTCGTCCTCCGTCCTCCCACCTTTCCTCCTCCTCCTCGTCCTCCTCCTCCTCCTCGACTCCTCCCCCTCCTCCTCCTCCTCCTCCTCTCCCTCCCTGTCCTCCTCCTCCTCCTCGTCCTCCTCCTCCTTCTCCTCGTCCTCCTCCTCCTCGTCCGCCTCCTTCTCCTCTTCCTCCTCCTCCTCCTCTTCTTTTGACGGTTTGCGAACACGGCCAAAACCCGAGAGGAGGCGGGAAGGAGGTAGGGATTGGGAGGAGTAGAGGCGAAGGAGGGAAATGGGGAGAAGGAAGAGGAGGAGGAAGGCGGTCGGAGGAGGAGGAGGAAGGCAGGACGAAGGAAGGAGGAAGGCAGGAAGGTGAGGGATGGAGTGAGGAAGGAAGGAAGGAAGGAAGGCTGAAGGAAGGAGGAATGATGAAGTAGGGAGAAGAAGAGGAGGAGGAGTAGGAGGAGGAGTAGGCGGAGGATGAGGCGGAGGACGGAGGAGGCGAGTCGGAGGAGGAGGGAGAGGGAGTAGTGGCGGAGGAATCACGGGAGGAGGAGGCGGAGGAGGAGCAGGAGGACGGAGGAGGAAGAGGATGGAGGGGAGGAGAGAAGGGCGAAGGGAAGAAGTGGGGAGCAAAGGACCCGCGGCGCGGGCCGAAGGAGTCTGATTCCCTGGAGCCCGACGTTGGGGGGAAAAAAAAAAAAAAAAAGAAAAAAAAAAAAAAAAGAGGCGGTGCACGCGGGGGCCGCAGGGAGAAACGGAGAAGGGACGAGGGTCCACATCGCCGCGCCTGTGCGCGCGGGCCGAAGGAGGTCTTGATCCCCGGAGCCCGACGTGGAGGGGGGGGGGAGAGGAGGCACGATGGGGCCCACGGGGAGGGCCGGAGGAGGGAAGAGGATCGGCACCGCAGCACCTGCCCCCATCCCCAGGGGGCCAGGGGTTCCTCAGCGCAGCCAGGCCCAGGCACCCACCTCGAGGTGGTGACGGATGCCGCGAACCCCGCGACGGAAACGGAGCCTATGTGTGTATCGGAATTTGGGTGGTTAGATCGAAGTGGAACGGAGAGCCCCCCTACCGGGGGAGCGATTTCGCGAGGCGAAGCTGCGTGGGCGGGCGAGAGGAAAGTCTCCTGTGGCTGAGGCGCGGCCAGACCAAATGATTTTCCGCCGGGCGGCCGGTGGCGCGCGGTGTCCCGCCGGTGTCCCGCCGGTGTCCCGTCGGTGTCCCGTCGGTGTCCCGATGATGATTCTGATGATGACTATGATGATGATTATGATGATGATGGTAATGATGATGCTGATGAGATGATGTTGATGATGGCGATGATGATGATGATGTTGATGTTGATGATGATGCTGCTGCTGCTGCTGATGATGATGATGATGATGATGATGATGATGACCTCGATAGTGATATCGATTGGGGCTTTGCCAGAGGGCAGGGGCTTTGCTGTAGTGCTATTACAGGGCACGGGCTTTGCTGCAGTGCACGGGCTTTGCCAGCGCACGGGCTTTCCCAGCGCACGGGCTTTGCTGTAGTGCTATTAGGGGGACACGGTGTATGCCAGGCTTTGCCAGCGCTTCGGTATTCTCTGACTGCATGAGGCACGCTTTCGCTGGGCTTCCAGCCGTTTGCGCTGTTTGAGCAAGGGAAAAAGAGCTATGATGGCGGTACATCGGTCTCGACCGCCGAAGGGCAGCCGTTGAGCAACATTTTGAAGCGATTTAGTCAGTGGCGACAAGAGGGGCTTCAGCAGGCCTCCGACAAAAAAATCTCCACTGGCATCGTCAGGAGAACAATCACCACTGTTGCTCATTGCTCGGCCCCTCCACCCCCCCAACCTCCTTATCACCCGTAGGGTGGTCGTATAGGTTTATATACACACGAAGAAGAGACATTAAAAAACAAAAACAAAAAACAATTGGAGTGGGACGGCGGGGCCAAGGCCTTCCCAGTGGAGACTGGACTGGGGTGGCTCTCATTGTGCTGAGAAAGGAGGGAAGGAGGAAAGAGGTCCCCGGGTCCTCCCGTGCTGGAGCCTCCGGTCACCGAGCGCGGACCCGTGCTTGTCGGTGGACCAGCCCGCCTGATCCTCCTTGGCGCTCAGCGTCTCCAGCTCCTCCAGAGAGGGCACTCGCTCAAGCCCCCCCTCCCTCCCCCGTAGCCCCTTATCGCCCTCCCCTGCTCCATCCCCCCTCCCTTCCCGCTCCTTCCTGGGGCTCGAGCCAGACCGTGTTGTTGTTCGTGTTCGCGTGGTTGTCGTGTTCCTTCGTTCTGCCTTCGTCGTGCCTTCGCTGCGACAGGAAAGCAGAACGACGGCGGCCCACGAAATCGCCAAGACACAGTTTAGCTCGAGCCCCAAGCAGCTCCTCCCCATCCCTCCCCCTTTTCCGCCCCACCACCCCCTCCCCTTCCGCGCTCCCTTTCCCTCCGCCCCCCCCCCCACACCCTACCCTCCTCGCCCTCGCCCCCTCTCCCTCCCCCGTGGCCCACCGCCCTCCCCTCCTCCATACCGCCTCCCTTCCCGCTCCTCCCCACCTCTCCCCCTCTCCGTCCCCCCACTCCCCCTCTCCGCACTCCCTTCGCCCCCCCCCCCGCTTCTGCCTCCCGCCGGGGCCCCGTTGAAACGGCGATGGCGATGGCGCTCCTGGAGTCAGTCGGATGGCCTAGCGATCGGGTTAAGGGCATCGGGAAAAGCAGAGACATGGTCGCAGGCGTAACACTTAGCCCCATGCGCACGTCAAAGAATCCATCCCGTCGGAGGGGTCCCAGGACATGCAATTCGTGGCAAGGTTGTCAGTGTCGGCGCCGCGGAAGGACAGTGGGCGCGGCCAGTCACTCGCGGGACACGTGTGCAAAGTAGCGACGCGAGCGATTTGGAACAGTGGCGTGGCGCCGAAGAGGGGCCACACAGGCGCCCATGGCGGGCTCAGTGACTGGCCCGTGAATGGGCCAAAACGCTCTGGGCCGCGGCATGCACGCCTTGCCGGAACTGTGTGGCCAGCCACCGCTTGCCCGTCGGAACCGCGAGGACCTGCCACGTGCCGGCATCACCCTGGACGTATCAGCAGGAAAGGTGCCAGTGAGGATCGCGCCTCACGGCGGCCTGCCATCTCGAAGCGGGTGGTCTGGTTCGCACGGGAACACGCAGGGCCCAACAAGTGCTGCCGGATGGCGACATCCGCCGCGTGGGCACTGACAGTACGTGCGTGACAGAACGGAGCCCCTGACATCCTAACGCATGCCAGCGTCTCCCACGCCAGCCAGCCACTCCGCAGGAAGGATGTGCGAGTCGCAGGCAGTGCCTGCAAACCGCCTGCAGCTTGGCAGCTTGCCGCCAGGTGGCCCAGGCGGGCACCGCCTGGTCGGATCGGCGTCGGCCTCGGAACGGCCGCGGCGTGAGCCGGCGGCCTGGGCTCTGCTGCAGGGGCCGATGCCTGCTGGAGTGACGAAGCAGGGCCATGGGCCGCCGAAGCAGCCTGCCAGTGATGCCCTTCCAATGGAGGCAGGGAAGGAACAAGAAAAGGCATGACAGGACTCTCGCTCCGCGCGAGGGACGGCCGCGCGAAGCCCTGACTCGAGTGGCTGGAGCGAGCGGCGTGCATGATCCCCAAACGGCCCTCACGAGGCGCCCAGGAGGCCCAAAGAGGGCCCCAAGAAGCCTTCTCCTTCTCGTCCTCATGTTCTCCCTATCCTCCTCCTCCTCCTCCTCCTCCTCCTCCTCCTCCTCCTCCTCCTCCGTCCTCCTCCTCCTCCTCCTCCTCCTCCGCACTCATCCTCCTCCTTCCTCCTCCTGCCATCCTCTCCTCCTCCTCCTCCTCCTCTCCTACCCCTCCTCCTCCTCCTCCTCCTCCTCCTCCTCCTTCCTCCTCCTCTCCTCCTCCTCCTCCTCCTCCGCTTTCCTCCTCCTGCTTACTCCTGGCTACTCCTGCTACTCCTGTCTTCTGCTCATACCTGCTCCTCCCTGCTCCTCCTACTCCTCCTGCTCCTCTGCTCCTCCTGCTCCTCTCTGCCTCCTCCTCCTCCTTCTCCTCCTCCTCTTCTTCCTCCTCCTCCTCCTCCTCCTCCTCCCCCTCTTCCTCATCCTCTTCATCTTGTTCGTAGTATTCGTATCACTCGTATGATGCGGCGTATGATCAGTAGTATCATGTTTAATCGTATGAGTCGTATTACCCTTCGTAATCGTATCATTGTTAGCATTGATACGAATGCTACTGATTCTATAAGAGTAATGGTACACGTTCATACCAACCCCCCCCCCACCCCCCCACCTCTTCACCCATACCACAACTCCCAACCCCCCCTAACCCACAACTCTACCCACCCCCCATAAGGACTAGACTACTGACTATCGTTCGGTATTTGCTGTAAATTACTATATAGTGTACCAGTTGTAATACCGATCAATCGAAATTAGCATTTATGGGGTTTCAATCAAGGTATTCGTGTGTCGTTAGTATGAATATCCTTGGACTGCTTCGAATTAGAGCATGTTCTTAGAATTGTTTTATTCTAGAAATAATTTGACTCATCATCCTCCTCATCCTACTACATTTCCTCCTCCCTCTCCCTCCTCTCCTCTCCTCAACCCACTCCTCATCCTTCCACCTCCTCATCTCCTCCTCCTCCTCATCCTCCTCCCTCCTCCTCCTCCTCTCCTCACTCCTCCTCCTCCTCCTCATACTCTCCTCATCCCCTCCGCTCCCCTCCTCCATCCTCCTCCTCCTCCTCTCCTCATCCACTCTCCTCCTCATCCTCCTCCTAACTCCTCTCCTCCTCCTCCTCCTCCTCCTCCTCCTCCTCCTCCTCCCTACCGCGCGGACGAAGACGATGTCGAGATCACGACCCTCCCCAGTTCAGACCACTCACTGAAGTGCCAAGGGGTGTGAACTCGACCTCCTTGCTACCGCGCGGACGAAGACGAGCTCGAATTCACGACCCGTCCATGTCAGACCACACGTCGGAATTGCGTTGTTCTACACTCAGCCTCCCTCCTGATCCACAGTTGCACGGGCATGGCGGCGGGGCCTGCCGCAGGCAGCTGGATCTCGAAGCTGCAGGCTACTGGACCCTGTGTGTTGTGAGAGGCATCCGGCGAAACGCTCGGACTACCATACCAACAAAGCGCACTACGGATACAGTCGGGGCGTTGACCTAAGGAACCCTAAATAAGGAACGAGTCCCCTTTTTTCCAAAGTTGAACTTCGATTTCCGATCGAAAACATAAGGAACATCTGAGGCAAGCTGCGAAACACTTAAGGAACGCGGAGCCCCTCCCCAACCAAAAGGGTTCCTTCCTCAGGGCCCCGACTGTACGAGAGGGAGGGAGGGAGGTGGGAGGCGGCAGTGAGGGGGAACGATGGACGGGAGGACTGGCCGGGGGGAAGCGCGGAGCGCGAAGCCTGAGGCACGAAGCACGCCCGCTGGCGCGAGGACCGGCACGAGGCGCGGGGCACGGAGCGCGAAGGACTGGCCCGGGGACTGGCTCGGGGGGGGGGGGGGGAACGACGGAGGGGGGCTGGCTCGGCGGGGTGGGGGGAAGCGGATGAGGGAACGAACGGCGGGGGAACGATGGAGGGGGCGGGAGGAGGCAGCGAGGGGCGAGGGGAGAAGGACTGGTGGTCGGGGGGGGGGGACACACGCCGACCTCCTGGAAGGCCGGTGACGATGTCCCCCAGGGTCGGCCGCGTCTCTCGATGGGCGAAGACCGATCGGTCTGGGGCCGGAGTGGGCAATCTGGCTCCCGTCGGAACGATTAGGGCGACTCGGGGGAGTTGGGTTACATTCCCCCTGAGCCTCTCAATCCTCCTCCTACTCCCTCCTCATCCCTCCCTCCTCCTCCTCCTCTCTTCCTTTCTTCTTATTAGTATTACTATTATTATTCATCTTATTCTCATCATCATTATAATTATTATGATTATTAGGTTTATTCGTATTGTTTTCATCCTCAGTAAAATATTGTTATTATTATGTTTTGTCGTGTTATTCTTATTTGTTGCATTATTTTCTCATTATGGATTTTCTTGTTAATGGTAGCATTACTATTATTATTCGTTTTCGTCTTCTTCTTCTTCTTGTTCGTCCTCCTCCTCCTCATCCTCCTCCTCCTCCGCCTCCTCCTCCGGTCGGCGACGAATGGGCGATTGGGGATCGACGCACTCCCCCCGGAGCATCTCCCCCCCGACGCTGCCCCGGAGGAAGGAGGAGCAGCAGGACCAGGGGAGAGAAACAGGATGTCTGGAACCCAAGGGCTCCCAGCTTCGCGCTTCGCGCTGCGCGACGCGCGAAGTGCGAAGAACTTCGCGCTCTCGCGCCGCCTCCCAGGGGAGAAGAGGATGAGGAGGAATCGGAGCCGAACCGCGAAGCGCGAAGCGCGAAGAACTTCGCGCCCTCGAGGGCGCCCTTGGGAACCGCAGGTGCGAAGCGAGGGTACCACGATCCGATCCTCTGGCACGTCTCCGGCGAAGTCGCGGTAGACCATCAGCGCGAGGGCGAAGCTGGGCCCTTCTGGCTCCTCCGGCCCGCGTCGTCGTCGTCGTCGGCGTCGTCGTCGGAGGAGGAGGGGGAGGAGGGAGGATGGAGAAGAAGAAGAAGAAGAAGAAGAAGAAGAAGAAGTGCAGGAGGAGGAGGAGGAGGAGGAGAAGGAGGAGAGAGAGGGGGGGAGCAGGAGGTCGACGATGCAAACAGCGGCTGGGGGGGTCATCCACCGCCCATTGGCGACGGGGGCCCGCGCGCGCCGAGGACAGCCTCCCGGCGGCCCGCGGAAGCCCGAGGGCGAAGAGCAGGTGGAAGAGAGGGACGAAGAGCAGGTGGAAGAAGCCCGAGGACGAAGAGCAGGTTGAAGAAAGGCAGAGGAGGAGGAGGAGGACGAGGAGGAGGAGCAGGAGGAGGAGGAGGAGCAGGAGGAGATCGAGACTCGATAAGGAGGAGGAGGAGGAGGAGGAGGAAAAGGAGGAGGAACAGGAGACGATCGCGAGGGCTTCAGTCGCTCGTTCGACAAGACCGTCCGCATCGCTGAGTGGCTGAGGGGGAGATCGAGCCTCGGAATGCTTGAATCACTACGTTTGTGAACTGATTCGTCCTCGCGCAACACGCTCCCCCCAGCCGCTCCATCTTCTCGCGCCCTCGCGCGGTAAAGCGGAAGCAGTCCGACAGGGCCTGGGGCCCTGCTGAAGGTGGCCCTGGCCCAACCTGTCCCCTGCGTTTCGCTCCGCTTTGGAGCTCCTGGGGCCCTCAGTCGGATGCTCGCAAGAGCGGCCCTGGGCAAGAGTGACCCGCGGCGCGCGACCTGAGGGGGCCGCAAGGCGGCCAAGACCAGGCGCGCAGGCCATGTTCAAGCGCGCAGGCCTGTGCTCGGAAGGACCCCATGTGGGCCCTAAGAGTCGCTGCATGGGGCGATGCATTTGGGGGGGGGGGAGAAAGGTGCACTTTTCGGGCCCCTCACGCCCCTCTTTGGGGCCCTAAAGGGCCTCTTAGGGGCCCTAGCCCTCGCTGACCCTTCATTTGCCCTCCGCCAGCCAAGCGGAAGAGGGCACCCTCCCCCCAGGACTGCACAAGAACATCCAGCACGAAGAGCATTGGGGTGCGTAACCTCCCCGAACCGACCTCGATCTCATACCTCGGTCGGACCGTATGCATATCCCGCTCCCCTCCTCCTCCTCCTCCTCCTCCTCCTCCTCCTCCTCCTCCTCCTCCTCCTCATCATCATCATCATCTCATCAATTCATCATCATCATCATCATCATCCATTCATCATCAGCATTCATCATAATCATCATCATCATCATCATCATCATCATCAATCATCATCATCATCATCATCATCATCAGCATCAGCATCAGCATCAGCATCAGCATCAGCATCAGCATCAGCATCATCAACATCATCATCATCATCATCATCATCATCATCATCATCATCATCAGCATCATCATCATCCCCATCCCCATCCCCATCCTCATCCTCATCCTCATCCTCATCCTCCTCCTCGCGCAGCCGACCCGGGGCCTCGCGAGAGAGGTGTGTTCGGGAGGCCAGCCGGGCCGCCTGGATAACTCTGGGGGGGGGCACCCTGGGCTGCGGACATGGGACGAACAGAGACATACTAGCACTATATGTTCTGCTTGGAGGCGTGCGTCCGCCCCGAACATACAATATACAATTCTTGTTAGATATCGCTTACCGAGCATTACGGCCAGAAAGCCCCCGCCACGACGCATATACTATCAGATTTCTCGGTGCGCGCGTCGCCCCTGGAGGAGGCGACGCACACATAGTATTTGTATGTTGGGGTGACGCCGAGGACACGCATGGCTCAACCCGATGAGTGCTTGCGCGGGTGGAGAAATTGCTTCCCCGCGCGATAGTGGGAGCAGGAGAAGGACAGCCGAGGGGACGATGCGGGCAGAACCAGAGACCACGCGTGCCTGGGTCGAGCATGAAGTCCCAGGCAGGTCCTCTCCAGCATGCCGTTGAGGCCGTCATGGCTCTCGCGTGAAGTCCTGACATTGCTTCACGTCAGCGTCCAGACATCCCAACACAGCTCTGGCAAGTTCCATTCTAAGGGAGGGGGGCCGGCGGCATGGGGGCGAAGCTCTTACGAATAAGAGGAGGAGGAGGAGGAAGAGGAGGAGGTGGAGGAGGAGGAAGAGGAGAAGGAAGTCGAGGAGGAGGAGGAGGAGGAGGAGGAGGAGGAGAAAGGGGGAGGAGGAGGAGGAGGAGGAGGAGGAGGAGGAGAGGAGGAGGAGGAGGAGCCTTGGACCACAAAATGTGGATGGGGCTTCCCCGCCGCCGCCGCTCAAGGGGCCGCCCGCTCAGGAAGCGGGCCGAGTCGCAACCTCCGGCAGAGGGCGTCGTCCCTCGGAGGACAGGGGCTGCCTCGGCCGAGGCACCAATCTGAAGTTACGGATCTCCTCACCACCGAGGAGGAGGAGGAGGAGGAGGAGGAGGAGGAGGAGGAGGAGGAGGAGGAGGAGGAGGAGGGTGTGGAGAGGGAAGAGGAGGAGAAGAGAAGAGGCGAAGAGGAGAAGAGGAGAGGAGGACACGAGGAGACGAGAAGGCAGGGAAGAGAGGAGGGGGCGGAAGGAGGAGGATGAGGATGAGGAGGAAGAGAGGAGGAGGGAGAGAGGAGCGGGTAGGTATGAATGTACAGGGGGGAAGGAGGAGGAGGAGGAGGAGGAGCAGGAGCAGGAGCAGGAGGAAGAGGAGGAGGAGCAGGAGGAGGAGCCGAGCTCCTCGTCCGGCCTCGGGCTCAGCTGCGGGCTCGGCGAGGCGGCGGGCCTTGGCTCTGGGCTCGGCGACGGCGCCGCTGGCCTCGGCTCCGCGGCCTGCGACGGCTCCGGCTCCTCCTTTGGGGACGCCACGCCCGAAACTTCCTCCTCCTCCTCCTCCTCCTCATCTTCCCTCCTCATCCACCTTCCTCCTTCTAATCCTCCTTCTTCATCCTCCTCCTCATCTCCTCCTCCTCCTCCTCCTCACAGCATCCCCCTCCTCCTCCTCCTCCGGGGTGCTGTTCGATCGGCCGCCGTTAACTTACCGACTCCCCGATCCTGGCTTTGCCAAGGGGCGTATGCTCCGGTGCTGGGCCCGGGATGGGCCCCGACAGGAGCCGTCAAACAGTCCGTTAACGCGGCCCGATGTGTAGGGTGCGGACAGCTGTACTCGGCGGTGGACAAGCCTCCATTTAGCAAACCTCCCTTTAGTGAAAACTGCCTGGGACCGAAAACCGACGGACCTGGACCCGCACAAATGACGGCCGCGACGCCCTCTCGCGAACCGAAAACGGCCAATTCCTTAATCGACGTGTCAGGGCATGAGGTCTGTCCACCCCCGATATACAGGTCCACCTGCTTCCTCCCCCCCTCCAATCCTGGACGAAGACAGGGAACAAAAATGGCACTGGCATAAACTGTCGAAGGTCCGCGCCGACCTGCGATAAATTACGTTCGTGGCGCTTCCTCTTCGAATCTACACGGGTCCGCCTCGTTCCTCCCTCCTCCCGGGGAATCCAGAAGGTACTGCTACCGCTACTCCACGGACCTCTCCTGGGATGCGCTCTGACCAGGATTTCGAAGCGAATTCAGCTGTGGCGACGAGGACCTCCCAGGAGTCCCAGAAAGGCGAAAACGAGCCAGAGGTGGCGGTACCTCCTCCCTCGATAGGGAGCCCACAAAGGACGTACGCGCCCAGCTATGTACATGAATACGGCCCCTTGACCCGCGAGACCGGCCGCGTGAAACGAACATTCGCGCAATGCGAACTCTCGAAACCAGCGTGGATTCATGTACGTGCACGCCCTTCTTCCGCTCCTCCCTCGAGGCGCCCCAGCGAAACCCCCAGGAGGCCTCGAGGACCCCCCCCAAAGAGGCACCCCAGGAGACGCCACAGGAGGCTCCAAGACGGGCCTCTGGTCCGAGACGCCCCGGCACAGTGGCGGGACGGGCCGGAGGCCGCAGCCGCTGCGGAGGGGGTCGGAGGCAACTGCTGGGAGGTCTTCGTCGGAGGGATTGCCCATCAGTCGGAAGCCACTCTCCCTCCCTCCGTCCTCCTCCTCCTCCCTCTCTCTCCTCCTCCTCACCTCTCCCTCCTCCTCCTCCTCCTCCTCCTCCTCCTTCTCCTCCTCCTCCTCCTCCTCCTCCTCCTCCTCATCATCATCATCATCATCCTCATCGCTTCCTCCCCCCACTCCTAGCCCTTTCGATCAGGGTCGGCGGCACCGGCCGTCAGGCCTCTCCAATAGGTAGAGACATGAAGGAGGAAGGCGGATTCAGTGGATTGGGTCCAGGCCCCCGCCCCAGGGAATGACAACGCACAGCAAAAGCGTGCGGATCCTCGAAGCAGGAAGGCGCTTGAAGCAGATTGGGATCTGGGAATCCAACAATACCTACTTTCAACGACTGGCGCGTACCCAGACATGACCGCGTCGAAAAAAATCGGGGCGGGCGGTTTTGCGCTGTGTTCGGCCCCTGGGGGCCCTCGCCGGGCCCTGGGGCCGTCAAAGAACGACGAAGGAGGAAAAACTGTGGCCCCGGGGAAAGGGTCGGGACTCCCGGGGACGCCGCCCCGAAAGAATCGGGACCTTGCATGTCTGGGGCTGGGAGGTCTTCGTCGGAACGACGAGGGCGGAGGAAGCCCCATTGGGGGGGCTGTGACGCCAGATTAGGCCGCGGACGAAGCAGGGTTCAGCCCGATCAAGAGGGATTCCTTATCAACCGGATTTAGCGGATCAAGCGGGATCCAGCCAGATTTGGCCAGGTTTCGGACCAGGGCAATGCCAGGATTTGACCTCCCAGAAGTGCGCCAAGCTTTGTACGTCCCGCCGGCCCCGCGGGAGACGAAAAGTCCAGAAAATCCGCGTCCAGAACGGACACGATGGCGCAAAATGGCTCCAGAGACGATCCCAGACGGTCCTTGGCCGCCTCCTGGAAGGCTTAGAATGTCTCCAAGACAGACCCAGAGGCCTCGAGATGGCTTCACGATGGGGTGAGGCCTTCAAGACGGACCATGGGAGCTCCAAGAGGACCCCCGGAAGGGCCACCAGGGGTAAAAATCCGCCGACCCCTTGGGGTCACGGCGTGTGAGACGCTTCCCCCTCCCCAAACCCTTCCCCCGGGAGCCCGGTCCGGCCGGTTTGGGGGGAGGGGGGGCAAAAGTGCTGGACAAAACGGGCCAAGAGGGGCCCTAAAGGCCCCCCGGACGGCCCAAGAGGGTTAACGAATCGTCGAAAGATCGCTCCAAGACACCCAAGACTGCCTCGAGACGGCCCCAGAGGCCCCCAAGACGCCCCAAGAAGCCACCCAGAGGCGTCCCAAGAGGCCCTCCAGAAGCAAAAATCCCCCATTCCCTATAGAAAAACGTATATTTTTAGCGCATTCGCCTCTTGGGCTTTCAAGAGGCCTACATCGGCCCAAGAAGCCTTCAAGATCGACTCAAGATAGCCCAAGCGGCCCCCACAAGGACTTCAAGACGGCTCAAGAGGGCCCCAAGACGGCCCCAGAAGCCCCCAAAACAGCCCAGGACCCCAGGACGGACCCAAAAGGAGGCCCAGAGGGGGAACCCGAATGGACATTTCGAGCACTCGGCCCCGAAAAACAAAAACCGAGGAGGCGCCGAGAGGCCCCCAGGAGGCTCCCGCGAGGCCCCCGAGCGGCCCCAAAGAGGCCCCTAGAGGCCTCAACACGGCTCCCAAGAGGCCTCAAAAGTGCTGCCAGGAGAGCCCAGAGAAGCCCAAGAGCAGAGCCGCGCTCCGCCAGCTGGCCCCGACGAAATCCCAAGAAGCTGAAAACCCAAGATTCCCCAGAAATCGCGCGCGTTCCGCAAACTCCGTTTTTCACTCCCACTGCCGCCCCAAGGCGTCGGCGGTGCGGTGTCAGCCACTGCATCGGTGACTTTCCGAATCTGTTTGCAGGTGCTTCGGGCTCTCGCCTTCAAGCCTGGGACAGCCCAGACATCCGGCCGATCCTGTCTTTGTTTCGGCGCGCGGCCCCCGGAGGTCCCGGACCTCGCCCCGGAGGCCCGCCCCTCGCGCCGAGTCCTTCCTCTGACGCCCCCGAGGCCCGGCGAGGGCCCCCAGGGAGGCAGAGAACGGCCAGAAGCCGCCCGCTCCGCTTTTGCTTGGGGAGCGTCGGATCTCTGGGAAGACGGCCCAAAGGGCCCCAAGAGGACCCCAACACGACCAAAGACCAAACTTCAAGCTTCCGACCGCCCGGGACGGCCAAAGAGGCCTCCAAGGTCGCCCCAAGTCAGCCCAAGAGGCTCCAAGGACGGCCCCAAGACGGCCCAAGAGGACCCCAAGACGGCCCAAGAGGCCTCCCCAGAGGGCCCAAGACGCTCCCATGATGGCCCCAAGAGGGGGAACCCGAACAGACAGATCGAGCCTTGCCCCAAAGTTGTCCCCCGAGACCGCCAGCAGGCCCCCAACAAGCCCTCAAGAGGCCCCCGGAAGCCCAAAAGGATGCCCAACGGGGCCTCCAAGAGGCTCCACGAGGTCCCAAGAATGTCGCTAAGAGGCCTCCAAGAGGCCTCCCAAGAGACTCCAAAGAAGCCTTCCAAAGAGGCTTCCTGTCCGCGACCAAAGTTGGTCCCCACAGTTCCCCAAGAAGCCGTCGGAAGGCCTCCCTCTTATCCTCCTCCCCGTTCGAGCCCCCAATCCTCCTTCTCGCCTGCAATGGGCACACCAACATAGAGCAACAATGGTGCCATTTGGGCTGGCGGAATGAGCGAAGCGATGAAATAACATGTGCTGTGCACCAGAGTTCTCCGACTCAGGCTTGCCTGAGGTAGTCCCACTCCTCCTCCTCCTCCTCCTCCTCCTCCTCCTCTTCCTCCTCCTCCTCCTCCTCCTCCTCCTCCTCCTCCTCCTCCTCCTCCTCCTCCTCCTCCTCCTCCTCCTCCTCTTGCATTGTGAAGAGGGATGCTGCCCGGCGGTCTGTCGCACTCCTGAAGCTGGGCTCCCGGCGACGTGGGCACCCCGCCCCTCGCGCAGGTGCCGTGCTATTGGCACACGCGGTGCTGTTGTGTGCCAACCTTGGCTGTGCAGTATTCGGGTTGGGCGAAAGGGGGGGATAGCAAAGGGGGGGTTTGAGAATCAGCTCACGTAGCTGATTTTCCCGGCGCCTCCCGGCGCCGGAGGCGGCTATGTATCGAGGAATGGGCCCCTCGGTGAGGCCGAAACCAGCTGCATGCAGCAAATTTCGTAACCCCCCTTTCCCAATCCCCCCCTTTCGCCCGGCCCGAAGTATCATGCCGTCTCATGCTGGATTGCGCGATGCGATTCGACAGCATGATGTTCAATCAAATTCAGTTCAACTCTGTGGCATACTGTGTTACGCCACCGTTTGGTACGCTTTGCTGCGCTACCCCAGGCTACACAGTGCTGCTACGCCACGGTGCGCGTGGCGGCATTATGTGTTGCACGGTGCTATGTGTTGCACTACACTGCGTGTTACACTGTATTGAATATCATTGCGTTGGAAATGATTACATTGTATTGCTCCCGCATGCGCTCCGCAAGAAGAATGCCCCTAGCTGGGGGTCGTCCCAGGCTCAGAAGTTCGATTCGCAGAAAACTAGCTCGAGTGCAGAGAGTAAGCCAGGAGAGCACATAGTCGATTCGATAAGTCGGATCGGAGATCAAAATGAATCGGGTCGGCGAAAATAGGCCCCCAAGTCGGGGCAAGTCGAATCGGCGGACATCGGCAGGCTAGTAGGCCTCCAATGATATGTGACAATCAGACGTCGGAGTCCAAATCGGAATCTGAAGTCGAATCGTATCAGAATCGGATGCCATCAAGTCGAATCGAATCGAATCGAATCGAATCGGAGGAGTCGAACTGAGCCCTGCAAGCTCCTCCTTGGCTTTGACGGCCGCGGAAGTCTTGCCGACGACCTTCTTCTTGCCCTTCGAGAAGAAGGAGCCCAGACCTGGAGGGGGCCGGAGCGCCGGCAGGGTCCAGCTCGAGACGACGACGACGACAACGGCGACGACGGAGAGAGCGTCATCCACCGCCGCTTTACTGTGGGAAATTCCCCCCCCTCTTCCTCCGAACCCGGGGGGTCTCCCCTCCCCCTCCTCCGAAAATCCCCCCCTGCTCGACCCCTCCCCCACCCCTGACCCCTCCCCCACCCCCCCCTCCCCCTTTCCCCCCGGCAAACCCCCCCCTCCCCTACCCCCCCCCCTCCGGAAAACCAGGGGGGGGTCACTACCGGTTCGAACCGCCCCCCCCCCCCACACCGGAAAACCGGAGGGTCACTACCGGTCGAACCCTCCCCCCCTCCAGAAAACCAGGGGGGGGTCACTACCGGTTCGAACCCCCTCCCCCCCCTTACCAAAAAAGGGGGGGTTCATACCGGTTCGAGCACACCTCACACCCCCCCCACCCCTCGGAAAACCGGGAGGGGTCACTACCGGATCGAACCCCCTCCCTCGAAAACTGGGGGTTCCCTACCAACCCCACCCACCTTCTGGAAAACTGGAGGGGGATTCACCGGTTCGAATCCCCCCCCCCTCGGAAAATCGGGGGGGTCACTACCGGTTCGAACCCCTCCCCCCCTCCGCCCCCCAGAAAACCAGAGGGGTCACTACTGGCGGAACCCCTCCCCCCCCCCTCAGAAAACCGGGGGGGGTGTCACTACCGGTTCGAACCCCCCTCCCCCCCCCCCTCCAGGGGGGCTCACTACCGGTTCGAACCCCCCCCCCCACGCTCACCGCCAGCAAACGACTCCATGGTCCCTACCACCGTCCGCACCACATCCCCCACTGCTGTCCCCAGCACCACGTGTCCTCACCACCACTGTCCCCACTGTTCCCACCACCGTTCCCACTGTCCCCACCAGTGCCCTCCCCACTGTCGCACTGTCCCCACTGTCCCCACCACTGTTCCCACCACGGTTCCTCTCTCCCCACTTTCTCCACGGCCCCAACCACTGTCTCACTGTCCACACTGTCCCCGCCGCTGTCCCACTGAGCTGTCCCACTGTTCCCACCACTGTTCCCACCACTGTCCCCACCACTGTCCCCGCTGTACCTTTGTCCCATTGTCCCACCGCCGTCCTCGCCACCGCCCTCACCACTGTCCCCACCACGACTGTACCCTCCACTGTCCCACTGTTTCCACCACATTCCCACTGTCCCCACACCACTGTCCCCACCACCACCGTCCCCACCACTGTCCCAATCCCCACTGTTCCCACCAGTGTCCCCGCTGTCCCCACCAGTGCCCCACCAGTGTCTCACTGTCCCCACTCTCCCCACCATTGTCCCACCACGGTCCCACTCTCCCCGCTTTCCCCACAGTCCCCACCACTGTCCCACTGTACCCACCACTGTCCCACTGTCCCCGCCGCTGTCCCACTGTGCTGTCCCACCGTCCCCACTGTCCCCATCTCTCTCCCACTGTCCCCACTGTCCCCACCACTTTCCCCACTGTACTACTGTCCCACCACTGTCCTCACCACCGCCTTCACCACTGTCCCCACCACAACCGTCCCCACCACTGTCCCACTGTCCCCATCACTCTCCCACTGTCCCCACTGTCCCCACCACTTTCCCCACTGTACTACTGTCCCACCACTGTCCTCACCACCGCCTTCACCACTGTCCCCACCACAACAGTCCACACCACTGTCCCACTGTCCCCACCACTGTCCCGCCGTCCCCTCACCACTGTCCCCACCACTGCCCGCACCACTGTCCCACTGTCCCCGCACCACTGTCCCCACCACCACTGTTCCCATCACTGTCCCAGCGTCCCCACCATTGTCCAACTGCCAACTGTCCCGAGGAGCGGGAATCGTTTGCCGGCGGCGAGGGAGGGGGGTTCGAACCGGTAGTGACCCCCCCGGTTTTCGAGAGGGGGGGGTTCGAACCGGTAGTGACCCCCCCCGTGTCATGATGGACTGGGGGGGGGAGGGGAGGGGTTCCAACCAGTAGTGACCCCCTCCCCCTGTTTTCGAGGGGGGGGGGGGGAAGGGTTGGGAACCCCCAGTGACCCCCCCCCCGGTTTTCCGCCAGCAGCGGTAGAACACGCTCTTTCCGACCACGACGACGGCGACGACGACGACAACGACGACGACGACGACGACGATGACGACGACGAGGACGACAGCGACGAAGACGACGACGACGACCACGACCACGACCACGGCGACGACGACGACGACGACGACCACGACGACGACGGCGACGACGACGACGACGACGACGACGACGACGACGACCACGACCACGACCACGACGACCGCGACGACCACGACGACCACGACGAAGGTCTGGTTTGCACGATGGATAGCGGCGCCCCCGCCGCTCTTCAGCGGCGAACGAGGGGGAAGTGAGAAGGATAAGACCTTCTCGAAAGGCAGCGGGGCCTCCTACAAGGCTTCTGGCCTCCTGACAGGCTTCCTTCGTCTTCGGGGAATGCCCAGAAGACCTCTCAGAAGGCCAGGGGACTGGGCGTGCGTGAGCGCCGACGCGACGAAGACGACAGCACTATGTCTCTCACGACGCACCCGGGCTGCTGAGGGAAGGAGAAGGAGGAGGAGGAGGAGGAGGAGGAGGAGGAGGAGGAGGAGGAGGAGAAGAAGGGGGAGGGAGAAAGGGAAGGGAGGGAGAGGGAGGAGGAGGAGGAGGAGGAGGAGGAGGAGGAGGAGGAGGAGGAGGTGGTGGATGAGGAGAAGGAAGAGAAGGAGGAGGCGGAGGAGGAGGAGGTGCCCCTTTTCGGGCCCCTGAAGCGCCTGCGCGCACGGGGGCGGGCTGAAGGAGCAGCCATGGATGGGGCACCGCTGCCGCTGCTCCCGAGACCTCTCCCGGGGCGCGGTCTGACCAGGACTTCGAGGCGAATCAAGCGGTGGTGACGAGGGCCTCCCAGGAGGCCCAAAAAGGGGCAAACGAGGGAAGAGTAGCGACATGGATAAATCCCACCAGCCCTCTGGGCGTCGGTGGTTTAGAGCGGTTCCTCTTCCACCCCTCCCTCTTCCCCTTCGGGGAGGGGTTTACCCCTCCCCCTACCCCTCCCCACTGACCTGGACAGGGGGTTCCGCGGCGCGTTGGAGCGCCCAAGATGGCCCAAGACGGGGCGCGGTCTGACCAGGACTTCGAGGCGAATCAAGCGGTGGTGACGAGGGCCTCCCAGGAAGCCCAAAAAGGGGCAAACGAGGGAAGAGTAGCGACATGGATAAATTTTCCCCCTCTCAACGGAGGGACCTAAGGAACATCGAGCCCCATCCGAACCCAAACTGCTCCGTAGTTTAGCGTCTGCTGGTCAAGTTCGGGGCGCTTTAAAGTTGGCCCCCGCTAGCCCGAACCACCACCAACCCTCGAGCGGCGGCGGGCGGGAATCCCAAGCACTCGGTGTGGCTACGGACACTTTCCCGAGATGCCACTGGAAGCCTCGCAGGAAACGTCGGGATCCGAACTAACTATGGCTGCGGGCACCTTCCCTGGCTGTTCGAAACAATGGTTTAATGTGTAGGGGATAGCGCATGTTACGCGGGGGGGGGGGCGTGGGGGGGGGGGGGGAGCGGTAACTGGGGCCGCGGCGCGCACCCCCTGAGGCGCGCCGCCTACGTCGTCGTTGTCGTCGTCGTCGTCGTCGTCGTCGTCGTCGTCGTCGTCGTCGTCGTCGTCGTCGTCGTCGTCGTCGTCGTCGTCGTCGTCGTCCTCGCCGCCCCAGCCAACAGCGCCTCTGCACACAGCACGGGCTCTGTACAATGCCTGTGTGCACCAGGGCTGCTACAGAAATCGTGTGCGTGTGCGCCACGGCGACTGTGTACACCATAACAACCGCGTGCACCACGACGCCTGTGTACATGGCGCGATCTGTGCCTGCGTGCACCATAGCCGCTGTTTCAGCACCCCCTGTGCACCACAGCGCCTGGGCACAACGCAAAATTCGTGTACGCCTGGAAGGCAATACCGACGGGGCCAAGCTCCGAAAAATCGTCGGGGGCCCGAACGTATCAAGTTCAATGTTTTTCTGGCCCCAGAAACGCTGGGATATGTTGGGCCCACAGCGCCTGCGTACGCCATAGCGACTGCGCACGTCATGGCAACTGCGCGCACCACGGCGCCCGTGAACACCGCGCGGCTTGGGAGCGCGCGGAGCGGCGTTAGCCAGGGGAATACACGCAGGACAACATTACCAGCAGGAGGTGTTGGAGGAGCAAGAGAAGCTCGTTGCAAGAGCAGGAGCAGCAGGAGGAGCAGGAGCAGCAAGAGGAGCAGGAAGAGCAGGCACACTGCCTGCGTGTACCACACAATTTGCGTACACCTCCACGGTCCCGACGGAGCCAAAGTCCGGGAAATTGCTGGGGGCCCGAGTGTAACATACACTATATCCTATATTGTGATATTATGATTTGATTACGATTATTGGTTTTTCTGACCCGAAGAACGCTTAGACATTTTGAGCCCACAGCGAATGTGAAACACAACGCCTGTGTGCACGGAACTGAAGAGGGAGGAGGAGTAAGAAGTGCGAAGATATGCGTGGGCCCATTCTAGTCCACAGCGCACGCTTACATCGTAGCAACCTTGCGCGCTACAGCGATTGTGTACACCACGGCGCCTGTGTACACCACAGGGCTTGTGATGTGTACACCGCTATGCTTGCGTACACCTTTTATGCCTGCGTACACCACGGCTACTGCTGCAACGACAGATGCGTGCGCCAGAACGCCCGTGCACACAGCACTGCCTGGAGACAATTTTTTTAATCAGCGATAACCCGATTTATCCGGGGGGGGAGGGGGCCGACCAATAACCTAACCTTCGTGCTATGGGCAGCCCTGCATATGCCCGCGCGCATTAGTGCCGCGGCCCCTACAGCTGCTGACGATGCTGCCGCGATGCTACTAGTGGTACTGCAACGATGCGGGCGCCGTCTGAGAATGCCTAGGGATGTCTGGACAACTAAGCGTAGCCGCGAAGTCTTGTGTACAAGAGTGCACCACACTGCCTGTGAGCAGTACAACACACGCGTGCGCCACAACGGACTTGCACCCCACAGGTGCTGCTGCAGCAGAGGCTTCTGCGTGCACCACAGCGCCTGTGTACACCCCGATGCCTGCGCACACCACAGGAGCAACGTGCACCACAGCGTATGGCGAGCATTTGCGCCACAGCGCTTCCGTGCGCCTCCAGGTTGCCGCCGGAGCGCGAAATGTGGAAAATCCCCGGGGGCCCGAACGTAACAAAACATTGAATGTAACTTAGTTGTGATTATTGATTTTCTGGCCCAGGGTACGGTCTCTCTCTCCCCGTTTTTCGCCGACTACGTTTGTGTACACCACAGCGCTTGTCTAGCGTGCGCCACGACGCCGTTGTACACCACAGCTGCTCGTGTACACCGCAGCGCCGTCTAGACAACAGTGCCTGTGTACACGACAATGCCTGCGTACACGAGAACACCCGTGCGCACCACAGCGCCTGTGTATACTGCGGTGCTTGTGCACATCACAGACGCCGCGTGCAACACAGCGCATGGCAGACATTTGCGCCACAGCGCTTCCGTGCACCTCCAAGGTCCCGCCGGGGCCCAAATCTGGGAAATCGCCGGGGGCCCGAACGTATCAAATTCAATATGTAAGTTGTGTGATTATGGATTTTCCTGGCCCGGGGTGCGGTACCCCCGTTGTTGGCCGACCATGTTTGTGCACACCACAACGCCTGTCTAGCGTGCGCCACGACGCCTTTGCACACCACAGCTGCATGTGTACGCCGCAGCGCCTGTCTAAACAACAATGCCTGTATACACCACAACCACAGTGCCTGCGTACACCACAACACCCGTGTGCACCGCAGCGCCTGTGTACACCACACACACACACACACACACACACACACACACTGCCTGTGAATACGAGAACGCCTATGTGCACCACGGCTGCTGCTTTAGCACCATACTCGTGCACCACAGCTCCGGTGCACCGAAGTGCTTGTGTACACCAGAGAACTGCGTACATTTCCAGGGCCACCAGCAGGACCGAACTCCAAAAAATCGTGGGGAATCCGAACGTATCAAATCCAATATGTAAGCTATTTGTGATTATTGATTTTCCTTGCGCAAGGAAAGGCCCACAACGCCTGTGCATATCATAGCGAATGTGTGCACAGCAGCGGATGCGTACACCGCAGCGCTTGTGTACACCACAAGGCGTGGTACACCGCAATGACAGTGCACCACAGTGCTTCTGCACACCACCTTGTCGGAGATGCCTGCGTGCATGGTAACTGCTGTTGCAACAACAGTTGCACACACCACAAAGCCTGTCTTTACCATACTGCCTGGGCGCATCACGATGCCCGCGTGCACCGAGCGACCTACGTGCACTTATGCCTGCGTGCACCACAACGCCTGCATACACAAAGATATTGCTGCAACAGCAGCAAATTCGCGCACCAAATCGCCTCGCTGCCTGTGCACAACGCAATGCCTGTGTATGCCCACGTGCACGTCCAGGTGCCTATGGACGACGTCGGTCGTCGTGAGTCATCGGTGTCGTCGTCATCGCCGTTCGTCGTCGTCTATCGTCGTCTATCGTCGTCTATCGTCGTCTGTCGTCGTCTGTCATCGTCTGTCGTCTGTCGTCTGCCGTCTGTCGTCGTCGTCGTCGTCGTCGTCGTCGTCGTCGTCGTCGTCGTCGTCGTCGTCGTCGTCGTCTCCCCGTGCCACTCCAAGCCCCAACGCTTCGCCAACGTGCATCCAAACACCAGCTTGCTGTGGCGACCACCACCGCGCCGTTGAACACAGCGTTCCCTGCAAGCTCCCTGCCTGCGCACCCCCCTGGACCTGCACAACCGGCTAGGTCAGGTTATTCTGGTGCGGGAGGGGGGGGCCGGCGAGCCCGATAACCTGGGTGATCGCCCGACCCTAAAAAATTATCCTGGCGAAGGACCCGACCATATGCAATTGTGAATAACGCTTTGTGGGTGCCGCTTTCGGTGGGGCTCCCTATGGGGCCACGAAAGGCGTGCCACGAAACGCTGTCCTGGGCGTACGGGACGCATGCGGGCGGTAGCACTGGGGCCTTTGGTGGAGCTGCCTATGGAGCCACGAAACGCTGTCCTGGGCGTACGGGACGCATGCGGGCGGTAGCACTGGGGCCTTCGGTGCAGTTCCCTATGGGACCACGAAACGCTGTCCTGGGCCCTCGGCGACGAAATGTGTGAAGGGTGTGCCGAAATGGGCGCGGTGCCGCCATGCCAACGCAGCCACTGGGGCCCTCGGTGGAGCTCCCTATGGGGCCACGAAACGTGTGACGGGTGTGCCGAATGGGTGCGGTGCCGCCATGCCAACGCAGCCACTGGGGCCCTCGGTGGAGCTCCCTACGGGGCCACGAAACATGTGAGGGGTGTGTCGACATGGGTGCGGTGCCGCCATGCCAACGCAGCCATTGGGGCCCTCGGTGGAGCTCCCTATGGGGCCACGAAACGTGTGAGGGGTGTGCCGAAATGGGTGCGGTGTCGCCATGCCAACGCAGCCACTTGGGCCGTCGGTGGAGCTCCCTATGGGGCCACGAAGCGTGTGAGGGGTGTGCCGAAATGGGTGCGGCGCCGCCATGCCAACGCAGCCACAGGGGCCCTCGGTGGAGCTCCCTATGGGGCCACGAAACGTGTGAGGGGTGTGCCGAATGGGTGCGGTGCCGCCATGCCAACGCAGCCACTGGGGCCCTCGGTGGAGCTCCCTATGAGGGCCACGAAACGTGTGAGGGGTGTGCCGAAATGGGTGCGAAATGGGGTGCGGTGCCGCCATGCCAACGCAGCCATTGGGGCCCTCGGTGGAGCTCCCTATGGGGCCACGAAACGTGTGAGGGGTGTGCCGAAATGGGTGCGGTGCCGCCATGCCAACGCAGCCACTGGGGCCCTCGGTGGAGCTCCCTATGGGGCCACGAAACGTGTGAGGGGTGTGCCGAAATGGGTGCGGCGCCGCCATGCGAACGCAGCCACTGGGGCCCTCGGTGGAGCTCCCTATGGGGCCACGAAACGTGTGAGGGGTGTGCCGAAATGGGTGCGGTGCGCCATGCCAACGCAGCCACTGGGGCCTCGGTGGAGCTCCCTATGGGGCCACGAAACGTGTGAGGGGTGTGCCGAAATGGGTGTGCGGGACCGCCATGCCAACGCAGCCACTGGGGCCCTCGGTGGAGCTCCCTATGGGGCCACGAAACGTGTGAGGGGTGTGCCGAAATGGGTGCGGTGCCGCCATGCCAACGCAGCCACTGGGGCCCTCGGTGGAGCTCCCTATGGGGCCACGAAACGTGTGAGGGGTGTGCTGTGATAGTGGGAGGAGGGAGAAGGCAGAGGGAGGAAGGAAGGAAGGAGTGAACGCGGGGCGCTGTCTCTTCAAAACGAGGACCCAACACCACAGGATGGTTGGGAAAAAAGCCTTCTGCGTGCACAGAAGTGCACGCCCGCGTGCACGACAGACCCTAGGCCGCCCGGGCTCGTGCGCTGGATCGGGGCCGGGGCGTTACCGCTACGGGGGGGAAATGAGGGAGGGGTAACATGCGTTTTCTCTTGGGGTGAATAAAATAGATGTCTCTTCCCGGAAGCCTCCAGGGCATCTGGCTTCGAACTCCTACGGCCACGGACACCTCCGAGGATGCTCCCGGAAGCCTCTCTGGCCACACCGGGGCCGAGCACCCGACAGCGGGCACACCCGTGATGTTCCGGGAAGTCTCTTTGGACGATCGGGATCCGAACGCCCACATAATCCCTCCCGCTCGCCTGCCGCGGCCTGACCGGCTGCGACGGTGGTGCCTATTGCACAGAAAGTCCGCAAGCCCGCGGACGAGGTCGATCCCTGACACCGGGCACAGTGAACGGTCCAGGAGGAGGAGCAGGAGGAGGAGGAGGAGGAGGAGGAGGAGGAGGAGGAGGAGGAGTGGAGGAGAGGAAGAGGAGCCCAGGGGAGGGGAGGAGGAGACGGAGGAGGAGGAGGAAGAGGAGAAGGAGGAGGGGGGAGGAGGAGAGGAGAGAGGAGGAGGAGGACGAGGAAGAGGGGGGAGAACCTGGCAACCTCCGAGAGACGAGAGGTCCGACGCCCGCGTCCCCCCCCCCCGCCCCCCGCCTGCTGGACCTGGGCCGGAGGAGCCCGCCCCTGAGGTGAGAGCACAGATGGGAGGGCACCAGCTATACTCGGGAGCGGCCAGGAGGGGAGTGTCCAAGAGGGGGGGGGGGGGGGGGGGGGGGGGCAGATCATGACCGGCGGCATGTGCGCGGCCCAGCGGGGGGGCCAGGAACGTAATGAAAGAAGAAGAAGAAGAAGAAGAAGAAGAAGAAGAAGAAGAAGAAGAAGAAGAAAAAGAAGAAGAGGCGCCATGACAAATTGGGAAATATCATGGCCCACGCCATGATATCCACCCCCCCCCAGTGATCACCCCTCTCTCTGCCGCCCGCGATGTGCACCAGCGCCGATCCCGGCCAGGATCCCCCTGGGCCCAGGATCGGTGTGTACGCCCCCCCTGGCCGTCGGCAGAAGGCACCTGCACCGATCCCGTGCCCAGGACCGGACTGGCCAGGCTCGGTGTAGTCGGCGGTGGACAAACCTCCCTTTAGTAAACCTCCCCTTCGTGAAAAGCGCCTGGGACCGAAACCTACGGAACTGGACCCGCAAAAATGACGGCCGCGGCGCCCCCTCGCGAAGCGAAAACGGTCAATGCCTTAACCGACGTGTCAGGGCAGGAGGTCTGTCCACCCCCGATGTAGGTGTGTAGCTGGTGCCCTCCGAGGAGGGCGGGCGTCCGGGGCGGACCCGGCGCGGCGCTCTCGGTGGCGAGGGCGGGGGCCGCGATTCGCCCGCCCAGGGGGCCGCCGTTTGCGGCCTTCTCCTTCTCCTTTGCCGCGGCCACCTCCCTCTCCTGGAGGAACAACTGGCCATCGCTCGGACGTCCATTCCCTGTGCTTTTTTCGGTTTCGTGCGTGGTTCTTTCGCTGAATGATCAAGGACGTTCCTAGATGGTCCTCGCCGAAGGAAAAATGCACACGTCCGAGCGATGCCAAGACAGGGGCGGGATGCGCACGATTCCTCGGAGCTCCGCGCGGATCTCTTGGATCGGCGCCGGAAGCGCCGCCAGGAAGGCCCACGCCGATCCAAGAAGCCCGGGCGGAGCTCCGAACAATATCGCGGCTGGCGCTGGGAAGACAGCAGGCGACACCGATCTCCGCAAAGCACGCCATCCCTGTGAGGCGATCCCCTCGAGAGGGCCCCTTCTGCACAAGTCATCCTGCCAGCGCTTCTCCGGTGCACGCTGTCCCCAAAGTGGGGATCGCGTGTCACTGCGGGCCAGCGGTGCCACATCGCACGCCCTCTAGTCCAACGCCGACCGTACGTGCACGCCGGTTTTGCCATCCGGTCTCCTTCTCTTCCAGCTTTTCCTTCTCGCGCTGCTCCCTCTCCCTCTCGCGCTGCTCCTCCTTCTCCCGCTCCTTGGCCCGCTTGGCCTCCTCGGCCTCCTGCTCGAGGCGGCGCTTCTCCTCCTCCTCCTCGAGCCTTTTCTTGGTGGACTCTTCCTTCCTCCGGAGCAGCTCCTGCGCGGGATTCCGCTGGCGACAGAGGCGGACGGGGAAGGGGGGGGAGAGAGGAGAGCGGGGGGACAGGGGGAAGAGAGAGAGGGGAGAGGAGGGAGTGGAGAGGGAGGGAGGAGGGAGGGCGAAGGGGAGGGCGAAGGGAGAGGGAGAAGGGAGGGCGAAGGGAGGGCGAAGGGGAAGGACAGGGGAGGTAGAGGGGAGGGAGAAGGGAGGGGAAAAGGGAAAGAAAGGGCGACCGAGGGCGAAAGGGCGAGGGGAGGGCGGATCTCAGCCTGTTGGCCGTGCTGCGGGGGCCCGCGTGCGACATCTCCCCCTGAGGCTGCGCGGAGCCTGCGCCAGGCCTCCCTGGCCGCTGCCGCCCCCCTCCTCCTCCTCCTCCTCCTCCTCCTCTTCCTCCTCCTCCTCCTCCTCCTCCTCCTCCTCCTCCTCTCCTCCTCCTCCTCCTCCTCCTCCTCCTCCTCCTCCTCTCCTCCCCCTCCCCCCTCCTCCTCCTCCTCCTCACCTCCCTCCTCCTCCTCCTCCTCCTCCTCCTCCTCCTCCTCCTCCTCCTCCTCCTCCTCCTCCTCCTCCTCCTCCTCCTCCTCCTCCTCCTCCTCCTCCTCCATCTCCTCCTCCTCCATTCCTTCTTCTTAGAAATAACTTCTCCCTGTCGCACCCCGAAGCTAGTTTTTAGGGCGGGCCAGGCATTTCGCCTGAGACTTCCTCACCGCTCATGACTCTGAAGCTTCACAGATGGAGGGCGGGTGGTTTTCAAAATGTGGCTCTCGCCTTAGAGCATCACGGATTGAGGGCGGGTGGCTTTCAAAATGTGGCTCTCGCCTTAGCGGGGCGCACACTCGTTTACAAAATTTGCAAGAGCTTCACCGATTGAGGGCGGGTGGTTTTCAAAATGTGGCTCTCGCCTTAGCGCCGCGCATCTTTGTCTACAACATGTTCAAGAGTTTCACGGAATCCCATCATCAGCGTACCAGAAATAGCAGGAGTATGCGGGCACAAAGAGTTACGTAGATTCTCTGTGTTGAAATCCTAGGAATGGCGTGTTGGCAAGATTCAGGATCGTCCAGACGCAACAGTCAGGTTGTTCCGTGGCGTTGGAATCCCGAGAACAATGTTTTGGCATGCTTCAGGATCTTCAAACGGGCGTCTTCCAGCGAGGCAGTTCCCTCAATGGACATGAACCGTTGTAGGGGCCTATGAAGAGGGAGCTTGGAGGGCCTTGTGTTTACACTGGTCCTCCTCCTCCTCCTCCTCCTCCTCCTCCTCCTCCTCCTCCTCCTCCTCCTCCTCCTCCTCCTCCTCCTCCTCCTCCTCCTCTTGCAATCGAGGGGCAGCGATAGCACAGGGGGGGAACCATCGAGAAGCTCGAGGTTCGAAGTTCGAGATTTGGGATTTCTGGGCATTCCCGTCGGCTCTCGGCGGCTTTCCAGCCTCGGGATGCGTTCCAGCAGCTGCGCCTCGCCGAGAGCGTTCTGGGGGTGTCCTGATCGTCCCGAACGGCAGCTTGAGGCTGGAGTTATGACCCGAAAACCGCCAGGGGACCAGCTCGGGGGGGTAACATCGACCTTGAATCGGCGATACATCGCCGATAGATCGGCGATAGGCCCCCGATGGTGAATCCGCACGCTCCTGGGCAGATTGGTGCTATCGGGCCCCTATCGGCGATCAGTGGGCGATTGGGGGTCGATGCATCCCCACCTATGCCTATCCTAGGGAATCGAAATCTATACACCGACGCGTTTTCCGGCCCTGCATTGAAATTTGCACTGGAGAGCGGATCCTGGGGTACACGGGACCCTGGTGTATACATCTCTCGTTGTTTCCCCGGGACATCGGGGGTCAAAGTATACACCACACCACCCCAGCGGCTGTCGTCCCCGACCCTCAAGAGTCCTAGGATTGAAAAACAGCCCGCCACTGGTGATGTACATGTCCCCGTTTCCCATAGCCCTCCCCATCGTTGCCCCTGATGCAAGGATGCCTCGAAAGTGCCCTGGGAGGATCCCTCGAGGCCCGAATCGGCTCGAGCTCGAGGGCGCTCGAGCTGCGAGGTCTTCCGGCGTCCTCGTCGGTCGGCGGCCTTCTGGCCGCGGGGTGCCTTTTTTTTCCGGCAGCGGCGCCTCGAGCGTTTTTTTGGGGGGCGCCGGGATCGTCCCGAGCGGCCGCCAGAGACCCGAGTGGAGACCAGAAAGCCACAACCTCCTCACTCGGCGGCGCGCCGAGGGGGGAAGTGAGATGAAGGGGCCCCAGGACACACAAATAAATACACACAAGTAAAAACATCCCCCATATTTGTACATATTTTCTGGGTTTTTGTCTTCCCCCCCACTTCCCATATTCTCCTATATTTTCCTGGGAGTGGACGATTAATTGTGTCTGTGTGTTTTTTCCCCTCCTGAACAACCTCCTCACTCGGCGGCGCGCCGAGGGGGGGAAGTGAGAGTGGGCAGGGCGTCTCAGGAGGCGGCGGGGTTTCCCAGAAGCCCTCTCCGACCTTCTGAGACGCCGTCCACGTCTTCGGAGAAGGCCCAAGCCACGTCTCCGAAGACCCAGAGCCTTCCGAGCCTTCTGCGAGGGCCCGCCCCCCCATGCATTCCCCCCTGGACCTCCCGCCGACCAGAAGGGAACACCCCGAGGAGGACGCCTGAAAGGGCTGCGTCGGAGGGGCCTTCTCGAAGAACCCCCCTCGGAGGCCCAGAGGGGAGACCCCCGGGAGGATGCCCGCAGGGGTGCTGGGCCCGCCCGCGGGAGAGCGCCCCCCCCCGCGCGCTCGGGGGCCGGGCCCCGGGGGCGCCGCCCCGCGAGGCCGCGGCTGAGGCTAGGTCGGGCCTGTCCCCCTGCAGGGGGACTTTTCTTTCGGCGCTACTGCTCAAACGCTCCCCCCTACAGGGGGAGCTTGGACGGGAAAAAAAGATGCCCAACCATACCCCAAAAATCGTCCCCCGGCTACGTTTTTGACCATTCCTGGAGATTCCCCCCCGTAGGGCGAGTTCGGGCCTGTCCCCCTGCAGGGGGATTTTGGACGAAAACAAACAAAATATGAAAAAATCGTCCCCAACAATACTCAAAATCGTCCCCAAAAAATATCAAATATACGGAAAAATCGGGATATGCCCAACAATGCTCAACAAAAATCGTCCCCAGGCTATGTTTTTGACCATTCCTGGAGATTCCCCCCCGTAGAGGGACAGGCCCGGCTCAAGGCCAAGGCCGTGCCCTGTGCCTGTCGCCCACGACGGAGGGCGCGGACCAGAAAACAAGCGACACCACCCCTCCTCCTCCTCCTCCTCCTCCTCCCCCTCATCCTCCTCCCACTCCTCCTCCTCCCCCTCCCCTCCTCCTCCCTCTCCTCATCCCCCCCCCTCTCCTCCTCCTCCTCCTCCCCCCCTCCTCCTCCCCCGCCTCCTCCTCCCCCTCCTCCCCCTCTCCTCCTCCCCCCCCTCCCTCCCCCTCCTCCTCCTCCTCCCCCCTCCTCCTCCACCTCCTTCCTCCTCCTCCTCCTTCCTCCTCCTCCTCCTCCTCCTCCTCCTCCTCCCCTCCTCCTCCTCCTCCTCCTCCTCCTCCTCCTCCTCCCCCTCCTCCTCCCCCTGCTCCTCCTCCCTGCGGCCCCACGGGGCTTAGCGTACGCCAAGGTCTGGCGTGGGCTTCTGCGTGGCACACGCCTGCGGCGCCCGGTGGGCCCCTGGGCGCAACAGGGAGGGGCCGCGGGCGAGGCCGGGGCGGTGTCGTCTTTGTGTCCCGGTCGAGGGGGGGCCCCCGCGGGAGGACGCCTGCAGCGGTGGTGGTGTTGCTGAAGGGGCCCTGGGACACACAAATTCATACACACAAATAAAAGGATTCCCCATATTTTCCTACATTTTCTGAGTTTCTGTCTTCCCGCCCAATTCCCATATTTTCCCATATTTTCCTGGCACTCGACGATTCATTGTGTCTGTGGGTTTCTTTCCCTCCTGAGTTGCGGAGGGGCCTCGTCAAAGGACCCCTCGAGGCCCCGAGCAGAGCCCACGGGAGGATCCCTTGCAGGGGTCCTGCGCCTCCTGTCATCGGACCTGTCCCCACCCCGAGCGGCCAGGGCTGGGGCCACCAGCGTACCGCACCAATGGTGGGGGCACTTGCCACATGACCCGACGGAAATGGCAGCCGTCCCCGCCTGGGGAGGCAGGTCGGCCAGCCGGGACAAGGCCTACCTCCAGGACCGGCCACCTAGATTCGAGCACCGCGCCTCCGGCGATGCTCGACCCGCGATTGCCGCCGCGCCGCCCCCATGGATCAGGGCAGTCGCCGCTGCCCAGACCGCGACGCGCGAAGCACGATCATCCCCGCGCCCCCGCGGAGGATCCAGCCTACCCGTTGGGGATGGGGATCGGTCTGCGGATACTAATCTGAAAGGGGACGACGGGGGGGACTGGCTCAGGGGGGGATAGCGAGCTGCGATCGATCATACATCGCCGAGAAATCGGCGAAAGCAGGCAGTCGAACTCTATGCACCGACGCTTTTTCCGGCCCCGCGCTGAGACTCACACAAGAAAGCGGATCCTGGTGTATACGGCATCCTCGTGTATACATTCGTCGCTGTCTCCCGGGGAAAACGGGGAAAAAAGTACACGCCACACCACCCCGACGTCGCCCCCGACCCTCAAAAAGTCCTGGGATTCAAAAACGGCCTTCCACTGGTAACGTCTTTGGACGCCCGAAATGGGCACGGAAAGAATGGGCACGATGCCCAACAGCAAATGTTGTCCCAAACCAACAGCGGCCGCTGTTGGGCAGGCGGCCTTCTTGACGGGGCCCTGGGACACACAAATAAATACACACAAATAAAATGATTCCCCATGTGTTTCATACTTTCTAGGTTTTTGTCTTCCCCCCCACTCCCCATATTTTCCCATACATCTGGGAAATCGACGATTAATTGTGTCTGTGTGTTTCTTCCCCTCCTGACTTCTGTCTCGAATGGACGCAGGCCGCGGCGGCGCGGACAGCGAATCCTGTTCAGAATGAACAGGGACTG